GATTTTGACGCTGGCTCCATGCAAACCAGTCCTCCGGATATATGCAGCCAGATACCATCACCATGCTTTCTCTTTGTGTGTGTGTGTGTGTCTGTGTGTGTTGTGCAGGCTGAGTTGTTCATACCAGCGGAAACTGAGGCTCCTGGAAGACCATTTTCCGCAGGATCCTTGTGGGTTCCATGTTCGGAGGGCCCAAGATGACCACAGATGACCACAGATGACCATTTGGGCAAAAACCAAACCCACCACACCCCAAACCAAGGAAAACCTATCCCCCAATTCCCCCACCCTCCAAAAAAAAAGTTAGAAACCTTAGGGGTTCTTTTGTTTCTGAAAAAAACATTCTGGCGCTGCGACATCAAACTCCCCGAAAACGAAAATCTGGGTCCCGAAGTCCGAAGGCTGGGTTTGAAAGCGAAAAAACGAAAACCGGCCCAAAGCTTGAAGGAAAGCAAGCTGGTTCAATGTCTTAGCATCTTCGCCTGGCGAAGCCATCCTTTTCGCCAAAGCTGGGACACACCTTGGGCGCTGGAGCATGAGCAGGTGCTTTTGTTCCTGGTTTTCACTTCTTTCCGAACAGCAGCCCGATCAAAACTCTAGCTTAGCCAGAATAGATGAGCCGCCCTTTGACTTGTTCGCATGGTTGTGGGTACCCCCCTTTAGGAACAGATTTTGATGTCGAGTAGTTTTTTTTTGTTGGGGGGGTGGCTCTCGCAAGAAATCCCAAGGAGACCATCACCCCTACCTTCCGCCCGAGGCAGAGGCCCAGCTGTTGATGCTGCAAGGCACTGATGAGCTGGAGGATTGACCGTTTTCGCCGCAACACGGACCACGGTGAGCGTAGATGGCTAGGTCCCCAGTAGTGCCCTTGTACCCTTGTTTGCGGGAGGGTTCCACTAGTAAAATAGACTACAGAAAGAAGGGCACCCTTATTCTAACCTCTCTACTGGAGGACCTAGGTGTTCATGTTAGGTCGGTTGGTAGTTTTTTGTTGATAAGCTAGTCTAGACCGCAAGCAAGACACCGGTTCCAGTTTAGTTTCAACTAGTTTCAATATCTACCAGTGACATCTATAGTATTCAACAGGACAGTTAGGGGTTGGTTGCGTTCGTTGGGTTTGTGGCGATTGTGGGGGGGTCTTTGGGCTTGCTTGTTTTTCTGTTTTTTTTCCTTTGACTTGGTGTTTGTTGGCTTGGTGTTTGGCTAAGTTGGCAAGATTACCTGGAAACAGCTGCGAACGGGTACTTTCTCGTGTGTTCCGGGCTTTCATGCTTTTTCATGGTGCCCCTCCCCCCAAAACAGAGAAAGAACAGAACACATGGTGGGCCGAAATTATTGTGGTTCGATATCTTCAAATGACAAACCAATGAAGCTTCACGCCCCGTCCGCGTATTTTGCTGACGATACCCTTTTCCGGGTATGGACGAGAAACCAGGAGAAACTCCAAAGGGGCGCCCAGATTTCTCGTGTTCCTTGGCTCCAGGAGCCTGCGGTTCGCGAGCAAGCGAACGCGGTACCGCCCGGAGCCCGGGAGCATCGCCATGGACAACAGATCCGTTTTCCGGGGTTGGTAATGATTATGAATAGGGGGGGTGTCCTTGCATATAGTGGGGAATCATATCACACCACTTTGGGATATTCATAAACTGGGGTTGATTAATATGGGGTCAACATTTGACCTGTCAGTTGGGGCAATGTTCCCTTTCCGCTATCACAGACCCCTTGCTGTCCAACCCTGGTTGGGACCTGACGGATTGTCCCCGATGAAAATTCCGTAGGCTTACCTTTCAGTTTCATTTCTCACTCCCGATCGAGTTCCGTTTTGGACCTGATCGTGACTTTTTGGGTTTGGGCCAGTTTTGTTGTGAACGACAAAGTTTGGGCCTGGCCAATCCACCTAGGAAGCGAGTAATGAGGAGTTTACGCAACTTTGTAAGGGTTCTTAGCTAGGGAGCACTGACCACAGCGCGCATGGATTGGTAGAGGCAGAACGGCGTTCCTTGATGCGGATACCCTCTTTACAGGCATCACTCAAGTTCTCACATGTTGGAAAGGCTGAACTTTAGAACCCTTTTCTGTTGTCTCAGAGAGCCATACCGAATCATGGCTTGACCTGCACAGGTCAACTGGAAAATACAGGTCGCCCTTGACGCAATCTGGCCATGCGTAGACCAAGCTTCACACCTGCCCAGCCCTTTGGCCAGGTTAAGCAGTCAACTCATCCACAATTCCCTTTCAAGCCGGGAATTGGCCCCACTACAACCAAAGCGCACACAACACCTTGACCCTTGTGGTTCTGAGCATCGGCGCTGTGCTTAGCATTGGCAAGAACATAGATCAAGCACCTGCAGAACTATACCAATCCCCCACCTCTATCCAGGACTGGAATCGCTTTTTGCCTGCGGGCTTGGCACGTGCAAGCGGGCAAAATCTGCTTGGCTTCTGTTTCCATTGTCCATCCAAACCAAGGTCCCCATCAGTGGGAAACCCCGATCCAAGTATTATTATTGTCTCTTGGACTGATTGAGGAGCTACAAGAAATGCACCACATTGATCTTGTCTGGAACTTGATAGGACACTATCCATTCCCAGTTGAGCTGCAGCTGCGAGATCGCGGTCCGTATTTTAATTTGTATGTTGCCGGCACCTCTCGCGGAGTTTATGTTTCTTGACCATGGAAACTAGGTCACTTTCAGCAGTGCACATCTAGACAGCGGCCAAGATTCGGGGCATCTTGTTTGACGCCGACATGCCTTATTTCGGCCCATTTTATAGCGAGCTCAGGGGGTATCAAGAGCTCACCATGACAAAGGTCCTTGGACTTGAGATGCATTTGCAGGGAGCAAGCAGCACTCCCGTGTTTGCGGTTTGGACCTAGCATGTTTGAGGGCTGTCAATGTGAGCACTTGTTTGCCTTGCAGGTGTTTCTGTTATCGCGAAACTCTTCTAAGGCCGACTCAAGCTATGTTCGACCTGGCGCGAAAAAACAAACACATGACGCTTCTAGCGCCTTGGATGACGCTCGACCCGGCTTCGCGATTCAGAGAGGCCCGCGCAAGCTCCCGCGCCCTTGTTCGACCTGGTGCGCAAGGTGCCGGAGATTTCCATGGAGGCGCAAATGGCATGCAACGCTTCTCGACGGATTTGTGCTGGCTAGGCCTAGGGCCTAGGTGCTAAATGAAGCTGTGTATGTGTGTGTGTGTGTATTGTTGGAGGCTACCTTTGCTTTTTGGTTTGAAGGGGAAGCCAATCACTATTCAAAGGGTTCACCCGAGTGGTGCAATTGGGTGAAAAACCATCACCCCTGTAAATCAGAGGGGCAATGTTGAGCTGGCCATTCGCATCACCAAGCAAAAAGGGTCTAGCAAAGCAGCTTGTGAAGGGGATGTTTGTGTGAATTTGACTGGTCCAAACACGATACATAATTCACCAATCGAACTGAAGGAAGCCTCAAGTGCAGGACCCTCATAGGTGCGCTCGTTTTACCCCTAAGCGAGCTCGCACTAATTTGAGGAGATTCTTTGTTGCTATGGGCGCTTTTTGCATAACCTGCTTCTAAGAAGATGCTGCATGTTGATCGGCAGAAAGGGGTGTGCAGGGAGTGGCCGGAGATGTGTGTGGTTTGGCTTGAGCTTGTGCTGGTTCCTGGCTTGCAATCAACATCATGTTTGTGGAACAGGGGGATGCAACCAACGGAAGCTCCAAGGGTAGATTCCACATTCTCTTCACCCATCGTTCTCTCTGGAAACCGCCCACAATTTCGCAGGGATTTTGCACTTTGAGAAGGATCCCGGGAATAGGGAAGATTCCCACCAAAAAGGGAACACAATAAAAGCTCGCAACACAGCAGCACACACATACATGAAAACAGCACACAGTAAAAAGATACAACATGTTTCCCTATTTTGTGGCGAGCTCACCAAGAAGTAAAATGAGTTCACCATGCTGTAGGTCCTTCTTTTCAAATAGGTCACCTTGGGCGAGAATAGATGGCAATGCTTTTTCGGTTTACAAAGCATCTTTCGCTGGAATAGACCTAGGATGTTGTTTTTGGTTTTTTACACTTTACCAGTGACTCAAAGCAAACAATAAAGTATACATTCTACAACTGGGCGTAACTCTACTCATCTTTGTTTACAGCCAACGTTTGCACGCAACATGTGATGAGGTTCCACCTTGCCAGGACCTCTGCCGTGGCACGCCGCCCCCACAGCCGGCGCAGGCGCAGCAAGGCGGGCTGGCGTTGAGTGCAGCCATTTAGACCCCTATTTTAGTTGGCCTGCAAGCATCCGCCCTCGCCAAACTAAACATCACCTATTGTTTAAGAGATGTGAAGATTGTCAATACGCTTGAGTAAAGTGTTCTACTCTTGAGAGGTCAATCATAGTGAACCTAGATGTGATGGTGCCCCTTGTTTGCCAAAAGGGGCTGAGTTCTGGTAGAAATCCCTTCGAAGCGAGGTTAAGGTGTGAGTCGGCTTCTGGAAAGGCATCAACCTTGACCCATGCGAAAGGCTGATTGTTCTCATACGAACAATGGGCATTTTCCTCGGGCTCAAAGTCTGCTCTTGAGACTGACATAAGGCCAAAGCGCCAAGCAACACTTGGGGATGTGTGCTCCCTCGGCCTGACACCTGGCTTGTTACCATGAGTACGGTCTGCACGGCATACGTCCGACACCCGAAAACTCAGCCTCGGTTCACAATCATAGCATAGCAAACAAGCGAGTGCTGACATAAAGCCACCAGCTAAGAACAGACATTGTCTTCCCCAAAGCCACACCCACTATTTTGGTACATATTAGTTTACATCTGTATGATTGTCAGACATGACCAACCACACATCCTGAGATCATCCCAGCCTCGAGCGCTCCAGCCCTACAACCCTACATCCCCAACACTTCAGCAGCAACAACCAGAAACATGCTAGCAGGGCCCTCGTGGATAGGGTCGCCGTGAGCCAAGCACACGCCATCGACTCGCCTTTCGTCGCTCGCTCCGCATGACGCACGCGGCCTTTTGGCGCGCGGCTTTGCTCGCAGCGGGCTGTTTCTCCGCTGCGGAGGAGTTTGGCGAGGCTGTGGACCAGGCACGGAGCAACTTGGTGGTTCCGAGACATCCGGTTGCTTAGGTTTCTAGGTTTTTAGTTGATTTGGTGTTTGGGTGTCCAAATTCAACTTACTAGTGTTTTTTTGAGCAGAGGATCTGACGGCAGCCCAGGCAAGAGAACGAGTCGTGCTTGCGAAGAGGCCGACTGCAGCCACTGTAGACCTGTCTGCTTTGCTGGATCCGATGTTGTTGCTGGCCTCATTTTCTTAGGAGACACTTTTGTTTGACCCCCAACCTGTTGGAGTTGGAAACACAAGACCCCACGGACTGTTTTTACCAAACAAAAAAAAAAAAAACAAGACCCCACGGACTGTTTGCGACAAACTCAGGATCCTTGGAACCACATTGAACCAGCCACCATGAGCCAAGCGAGGTTCATGGGCTTCAAAGCTTTCATACAACTGAATGTAAAAGCCATCAACATAAGAGGCTTCCCCACGTTGACACATACCCATGTTGGCGATGGTTGTGTTTTGCTCTCTATGTACGTAGGATGAAAGGTCGTTCAAGCACCATTGTTCTTCACCCTACTTGTAGAGCTGGGCCGTGCGCACCTTTGCACCCTTGGCCATGTTTGAGTAGGGATAGTCATCATTCACGGGCAATTAGACGTACAACCATGATCCACGTGGCTCACGCGTGCTTGTGTCATGCATTGCCGATCGGCTGACTTGTGCCAGCCAGCCAATTCCCCAACCCCCCCCCCCCCCGGCACGCAAGAACAACTGACAGAAGCCACCTGGATAGTATGGTTGATTGCCATTTGCCCGCTGATTTGCTGCCTGCCTTCTCATGCAGAAAGTCAGAACCCACGAGTCGCATTCCCTAAACCATTCGGTCCTAGACCGGGGTGCACAGCCCACTTAGAACCAACTTACTAGGTGAACTCCACTTGGACACCAAGCCGCTCCTGCACCGATTGACCACCCTGCAATCTAAGGTGTCCTCTCCAGTTCAGTGGGCTACACAGCTAGTCACATGGGGTATCTACACCCCCAGGTTCCAACCAATTTCTCCTGGAGGACGCCTTGTCTCCGGCCCAGCTGACGGCCTTGTTCGCCCTGGTCTCCGAGTCCTCGCGCCCGGTGGCGCTGACGGGGCTGCTGGACTTTGCGGCCAAGGCGCGTGAGGGCCTGGCGCTGAAAGACTGCCAGCAGGCCATGGAGGAGAGAAATATGTGGGGGCAAGGAGGGAGATGGTCCAGTCACTTAATGGGTTGTAGGTATGTTTCAGGTGTTTGTGTTCTTCCAACTGCTGAAACGTTATTTTGCTTTTCCCTTGTTGGTTTTAAGCCTATTGGAAATATGTTCTCATTCTGTCCAGGCGGCTTTAAGCAAATGGAAGCTTTTACGCGGTTGTTGTTGTGGTGTCAATCATTCAAGTCATTATTTGCTCCGCTTGGTCTTACAGTTTTGTTTGTGCCTGTTGGTTGCTCCAAGGAGACATGGCCATGGTCAATCAATATTGTATTGGTTGTCGCGCCTAATAGCTCAAACCAAGGTGGAGGGAGATGGATGGATGCAGATATTTTGAGATATGTTGGCGATGTGTTCATACCAGGCCATGCAGAAAGCTACAAATTTGATTTCCTTTCCAAGGTTCAGACAGGTGAGTGGGTGACTTTGTTTGCAAATAGACTGAGCTTACTACTGCCACCATTGGTGGTAGTTGTTTGATGCTCGGTTGCTGGAAGCACCAATTTTAAGATTTGGAGCCTGGCAATTTGGAAGATTTGTTTGCCCCGAGACAATGAACATTATACATGTTGTGAATGTGAAATGGCTATGTTGGCCGACTCAATCGATGATTCAAGACTTCGAGGCACGTTGATTTGGATTGCTTTTGCATGGCGAGTGACACTTTTCTGTGAGAGAGTGAGACTGCAAAATGTAGTGATACTCGCCTGTGGATTGGCTAGCACAAAGCCATCACGTGGAAGCTATAGTCTCCTTGATAATAATAATCGTGATGAATGTTGTGGTTTCGGCTGCGGATATCAGGATATCAAGTGTTTCAGTTTAAGTTTCTTCAGATGATCCTACGAGTCGGAGGGCCTTTTGGCTTGATTGCTTGTGAGCTTGTTCTTGTTGCTTGTGGTGACCCCTTTGCTTAAGAAGTGCGGAACACTACCACTCTAGGTACGGACCAAGAATCTTAGCTGGCCGGACATGATAGTTTGCAAACCTCCACGTCAACATTTTCCGGGGATCTCAAACTTACGTTGGGGGTGGTTTGCCTTTAAACCACAATTTTGTGGGTAATTTTTGGGATCTCACAGGGTCAGTGTTAGCATCCCCCCCATTCCCCCCAAAAACAAAATGCACAAAACCAGAGGAGTGTCGGTCCTTTGTTCCCTTTAAACCCACTTGGAAAGGGTAACAACTTAAAAACGACACCCCCACGCTAGGTCCAGTTTGTCGTTCTCCTTCGTTCAACTCGGAAGCCGCTCTGAGTCCTCGAAGCCACGAAAGCCGGCCCATGAAATGATCAAAGGATGCTCTGGATCCCATGGCCCATCAAATGATCAACCCATGGAGATGCTCTGGTCCATGGCCATCAACTGGCCCGATGATCAACAAACCACCAGGAGATGGACCTGGACGGGGACGGCTTCGTGACCTTCGAGGAGGTGCACGGGGATGAGGAGCCCGTGGACGAGGAGGACCGCAGAGAACTGGAGCGCCTGGGCGGCTTCCAAATGGGGTGTACTCATATGAGAATAGGTTCGGTGTCCATTCGTTTGCCTTTACTATGGACCAAATGTCTACAATTGTGAGGACCGGATCTTGGAGCAACCCTGTTTGTTTTTTGGGATTGGTTTGGGTGTTTGTTCCGCGGTGGATGCCCTTGCAAGTGAACCAGCCACATCCAACTAAGCAAGCCCGGTACAGTGCGGCAAATTCTCGGTGCTTGCTTTGTTTCCCAACTTGGAATGAGGGCAACTCGTCGACTCAAGGTTTGGTTTACTTATGGTTGCAGTTCTTCGAACTGAACTGACTGAACTGGGGATGGGTCAGACATGACTTTGGGCCATGTTAAGTGAGTTGCCTTTTAGGGTGATTTTCAGGGGGAAACAGAAAGGCTTGCCGCCCCAGAAACCTTTGGAAGTGCACAGAGCTGTCTTTAACAGGACAGTTGTCTTTCAAAGGAGTCGAACATGCACTCCAAAAGCACAAAAGTTGCCCTCCCACCAATGCACATGGAATCTGACAAGGGGTCCCTTCAAAAGAAAAATGGTCCAAACCAGGACCCCGCGAATGTCAGGGTCCCTGTCAGGTGCCATGTTGGTGGGAGAGAGGGCAGTGTATGTGAAAAAACAGCTAATATTTTGTATTATATCTCTTGGCTAACCATTCGGAGGATCGGGGGATACAACAAGCTCCATGATGAATACTTGAGGATTCCTGGTTTCCAATTTGTGAATTATAGTACTTTGCCCAGGCCTTTGTTGTGAAATGGAAGCCTCCCAAGATGTAGGGTGTCATGAATGTTCCAATGTTGATACCCATGAATGTTCCAATGTTGATACCGTGCCCAGAAGCATCCCTTGTTTGGCGAAGGCGACAAAGGGTTGGTGTTTGCATTGTGTGGGGGACTGATGCAGGCTGAGTTTGAATCCAGGAGGGAACTGTTCTTTGGCATGAGGTTCCGAAAGCTTAGTGTCCCCTTGTCAATCCCTCATTTTGGGACCAACACAGGCAAGTGTCCAATGCTTCTCATTGACCCAAAGCGTCCAATCCCAAGAGGGCTTTCAACGTTTAGGTTCCAAAAATGTGTGTGAATGGCCCAAACATGGGTCCCTTCAAAAGGAGTTTTGTCTCAAGAAAGATTGCTTCAGACCATTTTTGGCGTCTTGTTTGAGGTGAACCCCGGAAATGGGTGGGGGTCCCTTTCGGTTTTCTTTGAAACTGCAGCAGAAGGGGCACCAACTCAAAACAAGACATACCTATGTGTTGTTGCTGCCTCGGGCCCAGGCAGCGCGCGAGCGAGGGCCGCCAAGCCTTTAAGGCGGCAGACGAGGATGGCGATGGCAAGCTCAGCTTGTCGGAGCTGCGGAGCCTCTTGTACCCGGAGACCCACCAGGAGCGCTTTGAAAAAGCCAGCATCGAATCAGCTTCCCCTTCGATTGGTGGTTTGGAGCCGGGCCGAATCGGTGGTTTGGAGGTTTCCCAACCATTCAAAAGCCGATTCAGATCCCCACACCACTAATCCAAGCCACCAAGAAAGGGGTTCGTCAGACAAAAGAAACACATGCCACAGGCCATCCCGGGCTGTCATGATCAAACCATGCTTAGAGCACCTGATGCGTATCTGTTGCAGAAGCCCAATCGGCTAGCTCTGCAGGCGTCGACATAGTTAATTGAGGGACCGATCCCCCCCGCACATCAGAAAGTATCACCCTTCCACACCATGTTGGCAAAAATGCAAAAGGTCCGTGTGACACGCCGGTTCTCCCCCTTGATTTTTTGTGTGAGCAGGAAAATAACTGTTTGCCATCAGAAGGAGACAGCTGTTTGTTGTTTGGCTTGTTCCCATGTGGGAGGGTGCAGTGTACAGTTGAATGTGGGACGTTGCCTAGAGGAACCAGATTGATTCCATGAGAACAAGTATCGTAAGATTCATGGGCTCGCAACACACACACACACACATGCAGGTTTTCCGTTGAACCCTTGAACCCCAGACAAGGTCCACGCCCGAATTTTGGGTTGATCTCATTTGGCAGTCCTCCAAATGACATGAATCAAGCCCTGGTTGACAACTGGGGAGGAGGCACTGAATTTTTGATGGCCATGTTTGGGCCCACAAAACACCAAAAGCTCCCTGTGTGATTCGTTTCCCATGGATTCAAACTGGTGCAGGATTTCGTCCACCCACGGTACGAAAGGAGCCATCCCTAGTGAGAACCAACAAAAACCGCCGGCTTTGGGCAGCGTCCGCACTTAGGAGGTGCTGCGGCTCACTGCACAGAGCGCGCTGCAGCGGAAGGACCTGGACGGTGACGGCGAGCGCCTCGGAAGTGAGGTGGTTGGAAGCTCTCCGGTCGTCAAAACAACAGTTGCAAGGGTTTCATCTGTAGGATTTGTCCATAGGGAGCCCAAACTTGCTGGTGCTCAGTGAATGACCGAGTCCGGGTGTTGGGAATCCGCTTGGGGATTCCCCCTCTTGTTTTTTTTCAGGCTTGGATGAATGGGGGCCTTTTGACCTGTGTGTTTCCCCTTTTTGGGAAAAACATGGGGGCCAGTCTCTCTAAAATGGGAGACGGAGCTTTCAACGCATCCAGTTTTTCCATGTCCAATGGGGTAAGTGCTTGATATTGCTTGATCCTTACTTGACAACAACGGAAGTGGGGGCCTTTGTAAGGATGGCGGTCTTCCAAAACCCAACCCTCCAGAGCCTCCGGCGACGGATTGATCGCGGCCACCTCAGGCTGAGCTTGCAGGAGTTCTGGGAGGGTGATGTGGCCACAGGCGGGCCCTGCCCGGGGAGTTTCCGGAGTTCGGAGCTCCAGGCTAGGGTTCCGAAAGTTTCTCTTTTGTGGATATAATCAGGCTGTTTCCCTTGAGAAGATGTTGGTTTCTTACCATGAGGCTGCTTCCCCTTGAGAAGATGTTGGTTTTGGAAAGCTGACGCCATTTACACCAGGTGACTTGAGTCGCGTTGGTAGAAACAAGAGCAAGCAGGTAAACTGCGCACTGTTCTTTCAGAGTTGTGACTGTGAGTGCTTCGGAGCAGCGCTTAAGATGCCGGCAGGTGGAACACGGAATGATAGTCAGGATTGGTTTTCCAACTAACATGCGTAGGGGCCCCCCGCCAGAAAGCTTCCGCCACAATCGAGTACAGTGCGAGCGCTGTGTAAGAAATCGGTTGGTTGAGGCCCAGGGGGCTGAATTTCTTAGCGTCCTATTCGTCTTTAAAAGAGCTGGTTTCTACCCCTCTGGAGCCAGGGGGGCTGGATTTCTTACCCAATTTCTTAACCTTGTCTTTTGCAGGGGATTGAAATCCTGAATTTCTTAGCAACAGAGCCCTTCATCGCCCGAAAAGGCCGCGAAGAATTCCAGCCCCTGGATTTCTTAGCGAGGCAGCCCTTCAGCAGTGTCACACCCGCGCCTGAAACCAGGAATCATTGGTTCAATTCTTGGCGTGCGGAGGAAGTTTTCTTCCTCGCACAAGCAACAAGTTGGCCAAGAAATTTGGCGAAAAATCCAGGGGGCTCAATTTCTTAGCAAATGCAGCTGCAACCTGCTTGATTTGGGAATCTCAGCCCCTCAATTTCTTATACAATGATTTCTTCTACAGTGCTTGCACTGTATGCCAACACGTTCTTTCTTGGGAGGGGGGGGCAAATCCTGCCAGTCGTTGTTGTTAAATTTGGGGATTTCACCTCCGGGTCCCACGCACGCACACACACCCACACCCAGCCCCCAGCAGGCACAAACTCTCCTTGCTACCCCATCAGACTCCTGGCTGCGTCGCGCATCCGCTTCAAAGCACGCGATCAGCGCACCGCGCACATGCCTTCCAGTGATAAGCACCCTCTCAAGAGCAGATGCTCAGGACTGCACACATGCCTGGCAAATGATTTGCACACCCACTCAAGAGCACACGCTCCACTGCGCGTGTGCTTCCCACATGATGATTGTCATGGTCTTAAAATTTCACCGGTGGCCATTAATGGGGCCCCGTGATATGCCCCGCACTGGTATCGACCCAGAAGATGAAAGTAGTCTGTGTGAACCCTGATACGCCCCAAACATTTACTTGGATAAAACGATGCGTGTCACTACCAGTCCGGCGCATATCACCTGATCCCTATATTCAGGGGCTCCTTTCTTGGGGCCCCTCAAGTCACCTGCGGCCGAACACGGGCGCGCTGGCTGAGACTTGTTTGTTGACCCCTCCGGAATCCATGAGCTGAGGCGCGGATGGCCAAGCACACGCGGAGGAGGAAGCGACCTTCAAGACGTTGGACAAAGATTCCAACAGCGCATCGGCGTGAGCGTGATGTGTGGGCTTCGGGGCCGGACTTTGGCGAAGACGTGGTATTTCGCCCGACCTGCAAATACAAATGGGGCTAGCAGCCAAAAAGGCTTGTACGTGAGTTGAATCTGCCTGTGCTTATGACTGTTCAAGGCAAACCTGATTGGGTGCGTTGGAGGTTGGTGTTTGAGGTGCTAGGGCCCTGTGAAGCAAGTCGCGAACTCCGCGAGGGTGTGAAGGCACAAGTCCATTCGATAGGAAGCTTGGCTCAATAAGCGGTGGATGCCCTACATATTGCAAGTAGGGGAACAGGAGAACTCCCTAAATGAGGCAAATCCTCGAGAGTTTTGTTGTCTGATGAATCCCCTCCAGTGAGGCAGGGCACAGCTTGTTCAGTGAGACCGTGGTTTGCCTCCGAGAAGGTGTGGATGATCCCACCAGAAGCACACCTCCAGGGTTTATCCCAGTTGCTATAACTCGCCCGGATGGCTTTGCGGGCAATCTCGAACCAAGTCAAGTCGCTGGCAACTAGCAGCCGCGGATCAATAAATCTTATCTTTAGATATGTTGGGATGTTGGGGAGGGCTCTTATCGTAAGCGTTTTGGGCCTGCCGGCCTTTTGTTGGGAAAAGATGCTTCATGTGCATCTTGCAGGCGAATCCCCCATTCACTTAGCTCAACACATGTCAATTCGCTCAGCGAAGCCTGGGTGTCGCTCAGGCAAGCTCAGCGTGGAAGAGCTGAAAGACTGGGAGTCTGGAGTTCACCACACGGAGGTTGCCATGAAGGAAAGCGGATCTCTGACTTGGCCTTGGCTGGGCTCCGACATTAGAAAACCATTGGACAGGGGTGCTCCACTTTGCTTGCCCTCTTGGTTTAATGTTTCAGGAACCCTTTACTTTGATTTTTATGCCCTTGTGCTGGGAATTTTACAGCAAGGCTTTTGGAGGGCTTTAATCCAAGTGAGTTCCTTTGCGGGAGACATGCCGTCGAATAGGTCAAAAGCCTGGGAAGCCTTGCAGAATTCAGCATCAACAAAGTACATTTGTTTGATTGGTTGGTTGGTTGGTTGGTTGGCTGGTTCGTTGTTTGTGTAGAGCACTGCCACCAAACAGAGCCAACACGGGCACCATTTTTGGGCTGGCTGGTTTTGCTTCTAAGGGCTGCTACGAGTTGTTCCAAGAAGTTTGTTTTGGAACTCCTCACGTTCTTACTTGGCAAAAAGTCCAACCGCTCTTAGCTCTTCTCTCGGCCTTTCTCCTCCCTTCTCCTCTTTTCCAGTCCACCAGTTCACAACGAACACCTCGTTGGACTGTTGAATTTGTGAGCGTCATGTCGATTCCATGAACCAAACAAGCAGACAAACCCCAGTTGTTGCCTGGCCGGAAGCGAATTGGGGACCATGTACAGTAAGCCCCCAATGTTGTAGTGACCCAGACCTCCGGTGGTGCCTGTTTTGGCTTTTTGTTAGCTGGCTTCCCCCCCCCTCCGGTTGGGTATGTGTCCAGGTTGGGACCATTGTGGATTTCTCCAATATATTGCTTTCCTGTTGGTTCCTTTTGATTGACTGTTCAAAACCGCACTTTGGAACAACACATTTGATGATTCGCGTTTTGTCATTGGTGGCTGGAACCAACAAACAGTTATCGGGTTTTAAACAGATGGCGTCCCTGGGCACCAGACTTGACGAGTCTGTTGCGCTTTTGAACACCTCTCTGGGGATTTCAGGTTGCCAGTTGGGGATGCCTTTTCTTGAGGGTACCTTTTTCCTGGTGGTGTTCAACCCAAACCAAAACGAGAGTCACCATTTTGGGATTCGGTCAAAGAAAGACTTCAGCCCATCTAAACCCAGCAGAAATGTCGTCTTTTTTCAAACGGCCGGATCCGTTTGGCCGTCGTCCTCCGCGCAGGAGCTTCTGACGCTCTGCGATGAGGACCACGATGGACTCCTAAGCCTTGAGGAGCTGACGAAGCACCATGCGCCACCTGGGCTCCACTGGTCGTTGTGCTGATTTATGTGTGAAGTTTCCGAAGAGGAAGCCACAGGGGGATAGGTATAGTGAAATTGTGTCACGGCCACTATCAACGCAGGCGGATGAAATTGGTTATCGGCTTTTTTGCTGTGACCATACTTCATGGAAAAGCGGGCACTTGGTCGAGCTGTTTGACAAATTTCAGGCGGCGAACCAAGCTGGACCGTTCTCTAAACCAGATTGAAAATAGAAGGTAGGCCATGATTTGTGGGTGTTTCAGGTAGTCCACGTTCAAGTTGGGAATGTGCCAAATCGTGGGGGTTGGTAGAGAGTCAACGACCACTTTGGCCAAGTGAAGCGCTTTTGTGCAAGTCAAGGAGGTTGCACGCTTTGTGGCCAACCATGTAGCTGGTGCCCGCCCCATCATCGCCTCTTGACTCCACGGGGCAGCTTGCTTTGAGGAAGATCTCCCACACGGATGCGGCCTACCACCTGCTGGAATGGGCTGAGCATCACGAGCTCTGAGGACGAGCTCGCGCCTTGGTGTCTCCACTTGGGTTAGTACTTTTGGTTAGGGCCAGATTAGGGGGACCTTTATTACTAGGGGATGATTTATCGTTCGGGGAATCCTTTCTTAGGGAGGTTGTTCTTACGAATGTCCAGCTTTGGAGTTGCTCCTTTCAACATGAGTTGGCATGGAAGAAGAGCTGCCCACTGCAGAACTTGATGTCACGGTTGCAAGGGGAAGGGAACATAACGGGCACCTTATAGTTCTTTTCGCAAGCATCGCCAGAACAATGATTTCCTTTCTGGGAATGCCGGCCATAGTCGGTTTGCTTGCAACTTTGTCGGATGTTCGTAGGTTTCTACTTGCTGCCTTGCCCGGGCGGCTCAGGTGTGCGCTTCGACCGCGCTTTGCAGCAGCGGTCTGCCATTGCGCGGTGTTCGGAAAAGCCCTGAGGGAAGATGGGAGTGGACAGGTGGTCATCTATCCGTCCACCAAGTCATGATTGTTGAAAAGAGGGTAATCTTGGCTTCAACGCCAATCATATGGACAATCCCTCGGGAAATTTGGGAATGCCAGGCCAGGGAGGTTCCTGGTAGCTGTTCGCTGGATGCCCTTGCGGGTTGAGACTCGAACAGGACGTTTTCAGTTGCTTCTTGAGCCCGCAGAACTGCGGGCTCCACTGGGCCCACTTTAAGGAGCTCATCTTAACGCTGTGTGCCGGGGGGTCAATCGGTCGATCGTTACCACATGTTTGTTTGTCAGGAGAGACCTTGGGACTTCCCACCCCAAGGTTTGCAGAACCCCAGAGTCCATTCTAAGGTGATCCTACCCCATCTTCAGGTCCGGCTTCCTTTTGGAAGCCTTCGGCAGAAAAGGGGCCTATTGATTGGGGTAGTCCTGCCGTGCATGGCCAGGGGTGCCGACCCCTTCGCCGCCCAAGCGCCCGACCAGCTCAGCCCGCAGGAGATCTGTCGCCGGATTCTTCCGAACCGCACGCCGTGCCGCCCTGCTTGTTGTTTTCCCTTTTTGTGTTGGGTTCCCGGGTTCCCGTTTGAAATCGACCAGAAAAGGTGCCCTTTACTTATGGTCACGCTGAGCTTGTTTTTTTTTGCACGGGAAAGGGGAGGGGGGTTGGATCCTTTCCAGTCCTTGGTTGCAAAAACACAATCCAACTACCCCAACGATTGAATACCCTCTCATCACCCGCACATTCGAACACGCTCGTTTTGGAAGACTATTTAGCTCACACTGGTCTTGCCTACTGAGCCACGCTTGTTGGTGGAAGGATAAGTTGACACATGCTTGTCAGTTCGCTGTGTGACAATCACCTTGTATGAGCTTTTTTGAGCGGATTTGTTCAAGAAACGTGACAGGCGTTGAAGCCGAGGGCGCTAAGTCTAGAGTTGACTTGATAGGAATGGGCGTGTCTTGTTTGGACTGAGTTGGTACCCATTCTTGGACTGGTTTAGAAGGGCAACCAACAGGAAACCACAAAGTCCGCCATATTGTGGGTCAACCCCAATCACAGGTACTCTACCGCAAGACCTTGGCCAATTATAAGCAATTGGACACTTGCCAGCACTTTCTTTCTGAGATACTGTTCCCAACGCGCTGTTGGCTATGTAATGGTACTTTCGACTGATGGGGTCCATATACTACAAGACTGTAAGTGCCCAAATAATCAGTGTGGGGTTGTGAAGTGCTTTAACACCGCATTCAAGTCATGATCACAAGATAAACATGTGATTTGTCATTCTGTGTGTACTTGTGATTCACCCTATCAGCTACGCCTGATGCTTCCCTGAAAGGAGGAGACCTGCAGGAGCAGCTTGGCAGTAGAGAGGTTCTCAAGATGCAACAAGAAGCGCTGAAAATTCACGTTGGAACCCAACAATTAAAAGGGGGGGGTGCCCAAAAAAATCAGCATTCCGCTAGAAAAGGTATTGTTGGTTTCATGGGCATCTGCAGGACTGGGCTTTTCCCTCGACCCTTGGCTGGTTGGCTTCCCTTTTGGCGGGTGTGAGGAGCCGCAATGCCAGCGAATCAGATTCCGCGAGGCTTATTGTAAATTCGCACTCATCGAGCTTCTACCGAATCTTCAGTGGGCGCCAGTGAGGATAGCTACGACTTTTCTAAGGGCTTTTGTATTACACCTGGGATTACACCCACTGGAAAATGAGCCATTTAGGCATATTTCCGGATAACACTGAGTTAATTGAACCATTTTGGGTCATCTCCCAATGGGTGTAATCACGGGGTGTAATACAAAAGCTTGTAGAACTGTGCAACCTGCCCTTGGGAATAAAAAGTTTAGGAGCCCAAAGGGCAAAAGAAGAATTGCTGGGAGCGTCCCTGCGCGGATTTGCTTCCCAAGACACCTGCGCGGCCTTGAGGCTACGCCGACGCCAAAGTCGCGCGAGGAGACCCGGGACTTGAGACGTCCTCGCTTGTGTTTGCTTCGGTGTCCGTCGTTTGGGGGTTCAAAAGGTGCGAACACATTGAATGTGGATGACCATTGGTTGGGAAGCCACCAAAACAAGGATTTTTCAATCACATTAAAAAAAGAGTTACCCATGGTCATTTCGGGGCCAGAAATATTCACCAACCCCCCATTTCAGCAAGTGAGAACCCTGTTTCGAGAATAGCCCTGGCGCCCGCAAGGATAGGTTTTGATGTGATGCATAAGCTGTGATAGATATACTAATATATACTTGTTAGACACACATGTGCCCACTCATGACTTCCCTGCGAATGAACATGGAACTGAAACAAACGTTGGAAAATAAATTCCCCTAGACATGATGGTGGCTGAGTTCTATGTTGAGCTGCTAATTACCAGAAGCGACAAGCGTAAGCCAACTCCCAATGCGCACACATAATGTATACCAATACCGAGTGTGTGAATAAAAAAGATCGAAAGACCGATTGGAAAAAGAAAGAACGAAAGAAAGAGACGGAGATCCGTCAAGCACCTGTTTGGGAGGGGTGTCCCTTAATAGATCACCAACAACAGGGCGCCCTTCCTATGACTGGGATGCTGTTCTGATGCCCTTCACCCGAGGCCCAAACTCTGTGGCCAAGGCGAAGACGCCGGAGAAGCAAGGCCGTGCAGTCTGGGTGTTTCGGGTGTTTTGGCAAACAGCGCAAGGCGCCTGAATAGTTTTTGCACGGCATGCACTTGCCAGATGTCGTCAATGTCGACACTTGGTCTCCGGGCAACAAAGCAATGGAGTGGCTCAATGTGGGCACAAAGGGTTGGGCGGCGAAATGCCCGGAGATACAACCGAGTTTGGACCAGGAGCAGCAGCTCTTGGCCGAGTTGCAGCAACCTAATGTCTTCCAGCGTCTGTTTGAATCTTGATATGTGACATCTTGTTTGGTCAAAAACGCACATCGCAATGTGTGCGGCCTCTCAGTGGGATTGGCCAACCGAAACCAAATTCCTGTAGCCCGGAACATAGTACCTTGCCTTCCTTTTTCTTGGCAAAATCGGAGAGTGCGACAGGGTTGATCTGCTTATCTGATGTCTCGTTCGTCGCTTCGCCGGTTCCTTCAATTGTCGTTCCGGCGGTTGTTGCGACTACAGCTGCTGATGCTGAGATTGTATTGCAAGGTATTTGTTCAGGTAACTACCCTGCTGCGAAGGCAGTAGTACTTTGGCCACATTTGCTTTTGGGTGGTTCAGCGAGCTTGCATGTTATCTCCCACATCCTCAACACGTATTGGTTGCATCGGCCCAAGATGAGCTCAAGTCAGGTGACTTGTAAGGGGACCCGGAGTGAGGCCCATTGAAGGGCTGGGAAGCCGCTAAGATCACTGGCAAAGATATCCATACACAACTGTTTCCATAGTCTCCTTTCATAGTTCCCTCGAAGGGGGTATCTGAAAGGGGCACATCCATTATGCTGAAAGACTTGGAAAACAATGTATACGTTTTCAATTGTTCTACCTGACACAACCATCGTGCTATTTTGAACACGTTGATCCGGCCTTTGTAATTGTCATGTGGGCAGCGTTATTTCGTCGGATGAAAGGGTTTCTACGAAAAGGGAACTGCATCATGTTCGCCACCATCAACCAACAGGATTTGCAGCGTGATTTGCGAGGCACACGGACCTTGCATCCAAGTGGGGCATGCCAATTCGGCACTGTACCCGTTTACACGATTATAGGAGGGTAACTTCTCTTGCTACAAAGGGTTGTTCAACAAAGGGATTCCTGTTTGGACCTTTGAGCGACACTGTAGGAGCAACAATCAGCAACAACAGGCCCTCTCTGTTTGAACGAGCCCACATAAGTTTGATAAGCCTCCAAACAACAAGCCTACATATTGGTCCTTTCTGAAACTTCTCCACGATCAGGCTTCTTCAGAGGTCCCTCCAACTCCGTTGCGTTGACTGTATCACTGGGCCCCTCCCTCGTTCTTGTGTATTTTCCATTTGCATCGGCCAGGCCTAGCCTTTGCTTCTAAGAGAACGGCATGTTTCCCAGAGGGGTCTGTTCACAAGCCCCACCCTTTTTAGCACATCGGTGAATGGTTGAGGACCAATTGTTGTTTTAGCAAGGAAGTCACAAAATCGTCAGGGGGAAGGAAAGCTGTTTGTTTGCACAACCATGCACCGGTTGGGACGGCCTTTGCTTGCCAGCCCCTCCTGCGGCGGAGCTGTTTGTGGAGGCGCCGGAAGGAATTCACCATTGGTTTTCGGGTGGGTTGGGGACACACTAAAAGTGGAATCGAGTCCAAAACAGGTGTCCTGACTCCTGTTTTCCCAGCGTCAGTAGGCAACCGGGCTCGTCAGATAGTATTTGACGAGCCTAGTTGCCTACTTTTAATGAAATCCAATGCCAGGCCTCGCTGATTCGATATGGGTGGGCGGGTCTTCTTTTGAGGATCAGTACCCTTGGGGTTGTTGCGCAGGGAAACCAAAAGGAATCTGGCCACACCTGCTTCCCTAGTTAGCTTGATTCGGAGCAACTTTGGAGCCTCCGGCTCAGTCCGCCGACATTGTCCTCTCCC